ACCACACACCCACACACACACACACACACACACACACAGAGAGAGAGAGAGGGTGACCCCTTTCAAACATAATCAAACATCTCGGAAAAATAATCTATTAAAAAAAATATCTGTTCTGATTATATATATATATTTGTAAGCAACTATGTTTTTTCTTTACATCAATTGATTCCTCTTACTATTCTGTTCATAAAATATTAAGATACAATTATCAAAAAATTAGTAGTTAACGAGATATTTGACACGCACGCACGCACGCACGGTGGCTCATTTAAATCGACCATCTGAAATATCTCGCTTGTTTTTGAATATAAAAAAATGTTTCAAATGAAAGTGAAACGGCTTCGAGGGGGACGTACTTTTGGGTCATGTTTTTTTTCTAGGTGGAGGCGTCAAAAAGATGAAGGTCACTTCCATTTTCTTAAATGGAACTGCATAATTTTTTACACAGTATGATATATATTTTTTTAGTTATTCTGCATATAAAAGTATTAAGGTAGAGATATCAAAAAATCATTAATTTACGAGATATTACTTTATTTCGGCATATGTTAACATAAAATATTAAATAATTCGTAAACTATTAATTTTATTAATAATCGTATCTTAATATTTTAAGTATTTTAAACAGCATAATATATATATAAGATGAATCAATTGTATAAACAATATTAAGAATCATTATTTTTAGATCGCATATGTGAGAACACAATCAATATTTTGACCGTTATAGGCATTTTAATTAGTATTAATTGTATTCTCACATATGCGGTCTAAAAATAAAGATTAGTATTGTTTATATTATGTCGTCTGAAAGAAAGATCTGTTTCCTTATATGAACCGATTATTGCAAAGAATATTACTAAGGCCTCAGTAATCTAAAAGTTCAGGACGCTCGTATGAAATACAGAGAAATCCAGATTCGATTCCTGATCGAGATAATATTTTTCGCAATAAATTTATTAATAGTTTTTTCAATATATTAACATCTTTATAATATGATGTCTGATTGTAGCATTAAATTATTAAAATTGCTTATATAGTAATACATAGTAATTCAAGATTGAATTATTTAAGCAATAAAGATCCAGTTTCAACTGTTATAGGCATTTTAACTTCTAGTTAATTAATATAAAGAAAACACACAGTTGTTGTTAAAAAAATTGCAATTTATAATGTGCAATTTATAACTATGTATTTTTGTAAATGATAGATGTGTTTTCTCCATCAACTAATTCATCTTATTATTCTATGTATGAAAGTATTAGGATATAATTGTCAAAAAATTAATAGTTTATGAGATATTTAATGTTTTATGTAAAAAATGTGTCAGAATAAAGTGTGAAATATCTCGTAAATTATTTTTTTTATATCTCTATCTCAATATTTTTATATGCAGAATAATTAGCGGAATATCATATTATGTAAAAGAAAATCACATAATTCCATTTCAAAAAGTGGAGGTGACCTTCATATCTTTTTGAAGTTTTCATCTAGAAAAAAAAAACATGACCAAAATATGTCCTCTTTGAAAGGTCCTCGTTCCACTTTCATTTGAAACATTTTTTTATATTATCGAAAATAAGCAAAACATTCAAGATGTTCTATTTAAGTGGATTACCCTTATATACAGGGTTGGCCATATTCGACGGAAAGATCTGGCAAACACTGTAACTTTTGACAGAGATGTTAGATCGAGTAACGACGTTTCCCATGATTGAAAAAAAAAACATCTTTCCGTCGAATATGGCCAACCCTGTATATACATGTCCCATTTTAAAGGATCCACTCAAATATTTCAGAAACACTGTGTTAAATCGAAAAATGTTTCAGACAAGTTTTATGATTTCGAGGAGGACATAAGATGATATCATTAATTTGACCTTAGGTGGCGTTGTTAAGGTCACTTCGAATATTTTAATAAAGTATTTTTTCATTAAGTATTTTACGAGTTATAAGATTTGAAAGTTACAGTACTGTGCATTACTCAAGATGTCCGATCGATGGCTAAAACCTCTTGAATGCTGTTCAGAATCATGATCTGGATAACATTTGTCAAGGTCAGGGTCTTTGGAAGTTGTTGTACCTCTTATTTTCATTTTTACGTAGAAGTGAAAATTAATCAAATATTAAAGAATCTTGTAATATGTATCATTTAATGAACAATATAATTATTTAAAATATAATTATTTTAAATATAAAAAGTGATCCAGAATTAGTGCCTGATTCACATTTAGTAGTTTTATCCTATACAGGGTATTCCTAAAATTCGATATCACCCATCCTGAGCAGATAGAGCGGACTAAACTGAATCGAACAGTCTTGTACCATTTTGCATTTTTTGCAAATTAAGATATTAATTACTAAAAATCGATAAATATTGGTTTTTAATAATTTTTTACTCAAATACTATCAATTTTACAGAAAAACAGCAAGAGATAAAAATTGTTTATTTTCTTCTTATAAAATTCTGAGAATTTTTTTAGAATTTTTTCATAATTTTTTAATACCATATTTTCTCATGGTGTAAAAATAAGAAAATGCAGTATACTAAAAATTTGATAAGAAATTCTGAAAAAATTCTGAAAGTTCTTTGAGAAATAAATTAATGATTTTTATCTGTTGCAATTTTTCTAAAGTTGGTATTTGAATAAAAAATTATTAAAAACCAATATTCAGCGATTTTTAATATATCTACTAATTAATATCTCGTTAATTCTCGAAAATCGCAAAATAGAGGACTTTTCGACTCAGTTTACGTTTTATCTCAGGATGGAAGGTGCCAAAATTTAAGAACATCCTATATATATCGTAAATTCCTTTAATTATTTTTTTAGGGGATCCTAAAGTCTGTCTATTAATTAAACCATATAATTTTTGTATAACAATTACTTTTTTCTTGTCTTACTGATTTGAAAATCCTTTTCCAGGATTAAAGTACACATATATATGTTATTAATACGTGTCTGTGAGATAGAATCTATGCTGAGAACAAAAAATTAAAAAATGGAAATCTTTATCATTAATCCAATATGACGCTTCACAGCTGTCACATCAAGACAAGATTTGCTTTATATAAAAGCTGTCCAATATGTACTTACGAAATAGTAGTCCTCAGACTAGTTTGCATGAAGAAAGTGTGAAGTACTTAAGATTGGATTTAGATGACTAATTAAAACGTAATTGTTATACGAAACTTTAGTGTGGCATGCATAACTGATGTGTCAATAAGCTGCAAGAAGTTTATTATAAGCTGCAAGAACTTTGAACCGTGCAAGAACTTTAGCTGAAAAAAAGGGGGGAGACCTAATGACGCGTAAATCATCTGTGTGTAAATGCTATTTTCAATATGACTAATCGTCTTTAGAATCCATTTAAATGATTTTGCGGCAACTTCACCTTAATACATTTATATACGGAATAATCAGAGGAATCATATTATGTAAAAAAATTATATAATTCTATTTTTTTAAATGGTGATATCAATTATAATATTTATATGACAGTAAAAAATTGACTTTTCGGAAACTAATTATACCAATATTTACATTCCTTCAAATCATACAATTACATGAAAAATTTTTCCATATTTTTCGTATTTTCCGAGATATTCGGCCTATTAGATTAGAGATAGGCCCTGTGTGTATGTTGTATGTGTTTATGTGTGCATATACTCGTATGTATAATATAATATATAAATAATTGTCCCACAAAAATCAAACAAATCCATTTTTCTTTAAAATCTGAATTATAACGTCAAATCGTTTTCTGTTAGCAATATTACATCGTGAACAATTTTGTTTCAAGAATCATCAAGAATCAAACATAAAACAGAAATGTTAAAGAATGTTTTGGTTAGGAGCAATTTGTAAAATTTTGGAAATAAAAAAAAATTATTGCTTTATACTTTAATAATATTTCTTCTTCACTTATAAAAAGGTAAAAGTAAAATATTAAATAAGGGATATAAATAGGTATAAAAATGTAAAATATTATATAAATAAGATATTTCTGGAAAAACCAAACAAGTCTAGAGGTTCTTTATTATTATTATTATTTTTTTAAATAAGTCCCCAAAATATTAAGGGATTATATCCGATTGAATACTTGAAAACATAGAATAATTTCGGGAATTTTTTGCAGTTAAGTAATAAAATAAGTGTGGAAATTCAGTTTGAAGACCTTTAAATATACATATGTGGAGATGCTGGAGTGAGCAAACTGTTGACATATTGTGGATCGATAAAAATTTCTGAATTTATCGAACGGAATAAAAAATCCATTTACAAGATTAAAGTTGACACAAAATTGTAGAAAGAGCTACAGTGGACTTTACATTAAAATCGAAAAAAAATTAAAATTTATTTATTTTTCAATTAGTAAAGCTGTCACCTAACATAAACATTTTCTTGATATAAAATTATATAAACAAAACGACAATGCATCACCTTTTTGATTACAATAAGTGAACGAACATTGTGTTAATGAAACTAAGATTAAAAGCTTAAAAAAAGATTTATATTGATTTATAAATTACATGTACATACATGTTGAGCAAAGACTCAGAATGATAAACAAAGCAGTAATTGTGTCTAGTATTAAGTGTTCGATCTTGCAAGAGTGGCGTTGCAATATTAAGCAAGAATAGATGTATGTATTTGAATGAGACAGAACGATAATATAATAAAAAATGAATTAAAAATGTCACATTATATTATTTTTTTTGTTCGGAATTTAAAAAGTCTATACTATCAACATCGATCAAGTTCAGCCGCTCTAGCATTTCCTTACATTTTTTTATGTCAAGCTGTTGACGCTGAAGTTTTGCAAGCGAGAATGTTTTTTTCCATGGATCTCTGTGGCTCACAGAAATGTGTCGATACATGTGCCATGTATATATATATATATATACTTTCATTAGAAACAAAAAACAAAATTTTTTTATAATCCACATTAAATTTGCTAGAGAAGTGCACACATATAAATGTTAAAATATTAATTTTTGTAGAAAAAAGATAAGGTTTCATTTTCACTCAAAAAAATTCAATAAAAAAGTATTTATTAACAAAAAAGTTTTTAACCGATAAAAATCATGTGTACTTCTCTAAAGAATTTAGTTTAGCAAATACTATAAAAATTCAAGTGGTTCGAATAAAATTTGTTAAAGTTATGAAAAAATTTCCCAAATTATCACATGTTTTCAGGCGTTTACTCGGATATAACCCCTTAATCAAAGCCTAAAATTTTGTTTTTATACCTATTACATATCAACATTAAAATTATTATTGGCTGTGTATTCACATGAATGGTCCAATAAGATCCTTATTGCTTAAAATTATTATATTTACATAATATTATAAATGGTTTTCGAAGATGCAGTTTGTTGTTTCCTGAAAATTTAACTTTTTAGATTTGTTTCATTTTTATGAAAAATCTTTCAATTATGTATGTATATATACACACACACACACACGCGCGCGCGCGCGCACATACGTACGCATACAGCAATCACTCGCTACAAGCGTTCTGAAACCCATCGAAGAAAAAAGTGTTGCATTCTTTCTGTAACCAGTTGTACACATACGTACACATACACGCACATGTACGCATACACGCACGTGCAGGGAGGGAGGGAGGGAGGGAGGGAGGGAAGGAGGAGAAAGGAGGAAGGGGAGGGGAGCGAGGGAAGAGAGATAGGAGGGGGGGAGAGAGAGCACTGAGAATTATATAAATAATATAAATGGTATGAATCAGCAAAATAAAGCGCTAATTTTGCTTACCCATTAAGGGCTGATACAGGCATCACCATGCAATCTCTTCTACCAATTAAATGCGCACTTTGATTGAATATTGGCTTCACTTCTCTGACACCCATACAATCAGGTACATCTTGTTTATTTGCTAGTACCAATAATGGTACGCCAATTAGATGCTCAGATGATATCACCTTATCTAAAAGAAAAATGTAATACATATATTGTTACCGTTTGTAACCTCATTAAAATAAAGGAAATAATTTTTTAAGAAATAAAGATATATTTTTTAAATAAAACATATAGTTTTATTTAAAAATGTATGTTGAAATATTAAAAATGTTTTCTTTATTAATACTGTTATTTTACTTACAATTAGAACTTGTTCAATTTAATAACTCAAAATATCATTAGAGAACATCTTACCAAAAGTTTCTTTGGAATCTGGTATTCTATCACGATCAGACGAGTCAACAATATAAATCACAGCGTGAGATTCTGCATAATACTGCAAGTATAAACTAATATTATCATTCACTACATATAATTCATATATATTGTCTAATTATCTTATGTGCTACTAATGGTGCAATGAGAAATGTTATATAATTCCATAAATAAAAAAAGAAATGTTATATAATTCCATAAATAAATAATTAAAAAAATACACGATGTATATTTGTTTTTGTATTATATACAATATTAAAAGAGGACATAGAACTCTTTTGGTTTCAAAAAGTAAGCCTTTTCCATGGTTTTTTTTTCTAGAAAAAATATATATGAGCTGCAAGAATCAAATGTTTTAATTTTATAAATAAAATTATATATTTTTTACTACTAATCATAATTTTTTATTTTATGTTTCACTGCATATCCCATTCTTCCTAGCACATGCATGTTTCATGGTATCAGAAATACAATATCTCCGACTTGGTTCATCTGAAACAAAAAGTCAAAAAGAGTTAAAGTATATTAAAGTATATTAAAGATTATAATGCCTATCGGAAACAATTTTGAATTTTGGATTTTTAACAAAAATTTTCAAACTTAATGCAAAAATTTCAAATTTCTTTCTAAAAAAAAGTTTTCTGATAGGAAATACAATTTTTAATATATTTTAAGACACTTTTTAAATTTTTTGTTTCAGATGAACCAGGTCAGAGATATTTCTGGTATTGTGAAATGTTGTATGCCATGTAAAGCCTAGGAAGAAAAAAGATATTTTTTAGTGAAATATAATATTAAAATATATATTTTCATTAACAAAAAATTCGATCTTTGTAGCTTATATATCTGTTCCAAAAAAATCATGAAAAAAGCCTACTTTTTGAAACCAAAAGAGTCCTATGCCTCCTTATTTACTTTGTCCCACAGAGATTGAAGTTCCTCTTGACCACCGAGATCCCAGAAATTAAAAGATACTCCAGCGATGTCGATCTTGCCAATGTTCAAGCCTACAGTAGTCGTAATCTTGCTCGGATTCATACCCTTGTAATTTTTCGTAAATTTCGTCTTCGCCGCCTCGAGGTAAGTCTACAAATAATCGATAATTGTAGTTCTAACATTATAACCTCGGAATGTTCGAGGGTGTCTTACCGTTTTCCCCGCATTATCGAGTCCTAAAATTAATATAAAGTACTCGTCCTTTTGCATCAAATACTTGTACAAACCATGCAGCAATGTGTACATCTCCGTTAACCATCGATGTAATCGATGATATAATTTACATGTCGTATTGTTTATATTTTAGGCCCGCACTCATCGCACTTCGCAAATTCGCACTCGTGGACCGTTGTGGACTTGTGGACTTGTGGACTCGTGTCATGTTGGGCTGCGTTCGGAAATATCACCCGAGTGCCTCCAAATATCAGAGGGAGGAATCCATAAATGTTGATCAAAGGTTTGTCGCGTCGCATGCTCCAACATGCCCAACGCGCTCCAATACGCGCATCACCGGAAACAATATGGCGACTAAGGCTGGGTTCATGACATCTTGACAGAAAAACGGAAAGTGGAAAAGCGGAAGCCAATCAAAATTCGCGGAAAGCAGGCAAGCGAAATGTACCGTCTACTACTACTGCAAGTTCCGATTGGCTTCCGCTTTTCCGTTTTTCGCTTTTCCGTCAAGGTGTGAATCCAGTCTAAGGTTGCGTTCCACTAATGCTCGCAACTCTCGCATCGTTTGTCCTTGTTTAACATTTGGGGATCGATTCTGTATCTTGAAACGAGGTGAAAATTACAAAAGTGAGCGAATTTACTAGAATACTGATTATTTCATTGGTCAACATCTAGTAAATTCGCTCACTTTTGTAATTTTCACCTTGTTTGAAGATACAAAATCAATCTTCTGAGAGAGGACATGATGGCCCAAAAACCTGTAACCGCAAAATGCTACTAAAATCACTAGATTATAAAGTACTACAATTAATTTCAGAAATGTCGCGTAAAAATGGCCGAAGTGCACATAATACACGATTTAAAGTATTGTACATCAGAATCCACATTGGATCAATTGGGTGCAGCTAACCTAACCGTACATTCTCGAAACGATGAAGACATGCGATGATCACACGTGTGATGTGTATTTTCGTATTCCTGAACAGTTCTGAACTGTACTTACACGTATCCTTCGTGCACTTTTACGCATCTAACTTCTACGACAAATAAATCCGTATTAAACTAAAGAACATAAATTGAGCATTCGTACATATTCTTTTGTTTATAAATAAACTAATTACAACTAAAAAATATTGATTTACATACTTGACAGCTTCATTTTCCCAAATAAAGCACGTAATACAAATGCATAAATTCGAAATGGCCGCGTTTCGCGTGAAAATGGATGCGAGTTTGCGGTACTTTATAGATCTAGTGACGTTAAATGCTGCCACGCATTTAACTTTCTCTAAACTATCCTCTGACAAAGTGGATATAAATTACATAGCAATGTCCACTTTTCAAGGCTGGAGATAATAAATCGATATATAAATCGATTTCATTATAATCGTGTTACATGTAGATCGATTATGTGCCCAACAGATAACACAAATAACACGGTGTAACACAATGGACCATTACATCCTTGTTGTTTGCCAATGTTAAACAAAGATAACATGATCACTGTGTCGCACTGCGTCGCTTGGAAGGCACACTATATGAATCAAATATCGATTTATCATCTCCAGCCTTGAAAAATGGACGTTGTCCATTACTATGTAGTTTACATCCACTCTGTCAGAGGACAGTAGTGCGTGGCAGCATTTTGCGGTTACAAGTTTTAGGCTGTCATGTCCTCTCTCAGATTTCTCTCCGACATCAACCTAGGTATATCTAGAGCTTTAGCTCCAGACGGAAAACATCTGGCAACACTGTTCCTGTGATTGCGTCGATCTCACGAACACGAATGACGAACGCATTGCAGTCTGCAGTGTTGCGATAGACTTCTTTGAACGTTCGACATCATGCTGAGACCCTTGCTGCTCTTGTGCTGGGCCGCGACGATTGTGTCAGGTAACGGATTCCTGATGTGAATTCGTAATCTGCATCCGCCGATGCAGATAACTATCCGTGTCAGAAACGTATTATCGTGATCTTGCACAGCGATGTCGATGATTCCATCACATCATCATCGTCATCCTCGTCATCCTCATCATCATCGCTGTCGTCGTCGTTGACCTCGCGATCTCGCTTTGACGAGAGGGATGAAGTAAACGGAAAAGAGATCCTTAGCGATCCTAAAGTCATGCCTGCCGTCGCACTTCGGAGATTAATTGCGCACTCCGAATCACTGAAAGCGCCATGATGATGAGGCGGACCGGATCTTCCTTGAACGAGAATGTTGTCACGACAGTGACTCTGACGAGTGCAGCTGCACTCGTTTCGTTTCGTCTCGCCTCGCCTTGTCTCGCGTCGCGTCACGTAGCCGTGTTGTATCGCTGTATTCCGGTGATTCGATACGGATCATTATATGCTTTTAAAACAAAACAGTCGCTTGGCAATCGCATACGCGTGATATGACATTGCGCAGTATCCTGAGGATGCCGGATCATATTTTATGCGATAAAGATTATCGTGCCGTATCCTATTCTGTATTCCTTGAGACTTGTTAACGACAGATCAGTTACGCAGATATTTTATGGTATAAAAAGTTGCGCAACAATGTCATTACTGTCTTAACAAGTTATTACAGAATAGGAGTTCTGGGAAGAGTCTGTGTCTCTTACAGACTTATGCGCGTTTCTATCAATTTAGATTAATTTTAATCTTAGCTTGATTTGCTCTTCAATTTTTTTTAATTTTTATAACTAGATAAAGATGAAGAGCTAATTGAACCAAGATTAAGATAACATTGGTAGAAACGATCATTAATTGTTTACGACGAGCCCTTTATCTTTTACCTCTAAATCTATTGTTGTGAAATCAAAATGATTTCGACTCATGTTTTTTTTTTTTATTAGATATTCTCTGTTTCGAAATTCTTTTTTTATATTTATGTTATTTTACATAACATTTAATTGATACTGAAAACGTACATCAAATTTAATTAATACACATAGATGAATGTTTAACAACATATATTATAAATATTTGATTCTTACATATTTTTTTAAACTGATTAAAGATATACCTAGCTTTAAAAACATAGGATGTATTGATTTTTAGATAGAGACATTTTCTTTAAACTCTGCCTATAATGAGTTTTGTTGACGCAAAATCTTGAAGGTCAGAGATGAATTACTCTGTGAATGATACAGAAATATAATATGCATGTATAATTTTAACAGCTGCTGGCCCAGAGAATGTCAATACCAATGACACAAGTATTTCTATCAACTCAACCAGCTACAATGCAGCTACAAATTCCCAGTCAATGCTTCAACCTGAAGTAAACGAAGAAACAAAGATACATTCGATCTCTTCAAAAGATGAGAACACGCTAAATAATTCTATATCAAACACGCTCATTCCATCAACTGTAATTTTGACTATGTCAAACACACCTTCGACGACTACAACAACTTCGTCAACTACAACAACTCTGCCGACTACAACCAAGTCAACAACAACTTCTACGCCTGCACCTACCACAACCACTGTTCCTACAACATCAACGTCAACAACCCCGCTTCCTCCACCAAGTACTGGAAAATGGAAAGTTAAAGAGAATAATACGATATGTATTCTCATTCAAATGGCTGTACAATTCAATGTTTCATATACCACCGATAATGTGGTAAGTACACAAAAATTAAGTTTATTATATGTTAATATATAAAAATTATTAACAAATTTGACAAATAATCAGAGACCAAAAGTCAGTTATTATAACAGTTATCGTAACAGTTATCTTGAAAAATTTGATTTGATGAAACAAATCATTGATTAAAAGTTGATATTTATGCACAGAGAAGACAATCGTCATTAAATTTTAAAGAAATTGCTTGAAAAATGTAATCTTAAAATATCAATTTTTATGTATTCTGATTACGACCATTGTTAATGATAGAAATTGTTTTCAGTTGTGAATAATCATTATAGATGACGGCAATTGTTTTTGGTTACGAATAATCATTATGGACGACTGAAATTGTTCTTAGTAAAGACTAATCATTATCGATAATTAGAAATTTATTTTGGTTATGCATTTTTCAGTATTTTTTTGTACGTTTCTGTAATCTATTAAGTTTCTGCAGAAGTGAGAATTACAGAGAAATGTAAACATATTAAAAATGTAAAATATATCTTTTATCTTATTCTTTTTTCATAAATAATGCTATCTTCTATCTTTTATTAATTGATTTTACATTCGTAATTATAATAAAATTGACAATAATAACCAAAAAACATGATATTTACTTGATATTATTTGCCAGTAAACAAGGGCTATGTTCCAAAATTGCCTGTATTGAAAATCTATAGTGCACGTAACGTAAACTGTCACATTTTCAATATTGGCAGTAAATTTGGAACACAGCCAAGGTCTGTAGTTTAGAAACTTTGGGTAACCAATAAAATAAAATTCTGAGCATCAATAATGATTATTCATCAATTATGATTAATGGTAACCAATATCAAATTCTAGTCATTTATGATAGTCATTCATAATAAAAAATAATTTCCATCTTTGATAATGATTATCTGTAACCAAAAACAATTTCCGACATCAGTAATGGTTATTTGCAACCGAAAACAATTTTAATTATTTATAATGATTATTTGTAACCTAAATCGCTTAAAGAAAAATATAATTGCTACGTTCAGCAGAGAAAATTAATCAGCGCTTAGTAATTCTTTAATATGATTGGTTCTTGCCTCTAGTTCGTCACTGGATCTAAGTGTAGGAACCAATTATATTGAAGAATCACTAAAGTAAGCGCTAACTGATTAGTTTTCTCTGCTGAACGCAGCCATTGTTATGCTATAACTTTTTTTATTTTGGTTATAACAGTTACGAGTCTCTGCAAATAATATAAAGGAGTTAGTGTATTTTAGGCAATTTGGGGAACACGTAGGAATTGTTGTGTTCATCTTTTTTCATACTCAATTTTACTTGCTGAATTCGAAAATCATAGTAAAAATTGTTATAATTAGTATCCGGGAAATATTTTTTTTCATATTTTTAAGAAGAAGCCAATGGTTGATTTTCTTGAATCATATCTACGAATTTCTCTTTGTTTTTATCATATTTTTTATTTAATAGGGGCGTTTCTCTTGCAGATGTACATTTTGTACACAAAGAAAGAGAGAACGCACTACAACAAAACAGAATATGTGACTTAGGAATAGGAATCGACTCGTATATGTAATGTAATATACAGAGCAATATATACAATGCAATATATTCAGAAAATTACCCACAATATTCGGGAAGTGATTCGGGATCCAAAAAAAAGGAAAAAAAGCTATATAAACATAGATCTGGAAATAAATCGTTTCCAAGTTATAACTACTTTTAAAAAAATTATTTAAAAAAATTGTAATTTATTTTTCGTAATCACAATCAT